GACGAACCGAACCAATAGAATGGGTTGATACAACACCAATACTGGACTATTTCGATTTTGGTGCGTATTTTTATTATGTCGCCGATGCTCTAGTCAAAAATGGATATGTGCGAGGAGAAACATTGTTCGGTGCACCATACGATTTTCGAAAAGGCCCAAGTAAGTGGTTTATTTTTTAGATCGATAAATCATTCAAATTGTTGTTACTCCACAGATGAAAACGGCGAATGGTTTGAGAGATTGGCCTATTTGACCAGGGCTTAAGAATCGCACATTCAGTTCACAGTACAACTCATTTCAGTGAGAGCCACAGCGCTCGTGTGCGATGGTCTTCTCATAACAACTGAGTTGTGTGCGCACACTGCTCACTTACTTCTCCTCTGCTTTGTGCGGATCATCGTTCGGTCAAAGAAAAAAATAAGAAGAAGTAGTAGTAGTATGTTCAACATAGCCGAAATACAGGCACAAACATTTTATTTTGTCTCCTGTGAGTATTTGAGCGCACATTAAACGGACAGTGATAAACTCATTTTTATTTGAGAACTTGTGAACTGTTCGTCATTCGTTCGTGTGCGTGTAGCGCACACGATATTGTGATGCATTGCGCTACTCACAGGGTTCACTCTGTGCGATTCTTAAGCCCTGTATTTGACCGAATACGTGTACAGCATCAACAACAATATTGGAATAACATTCATCGCTCATTCAATGGGCGGCAGAATGCTTTTATATTTTCTCCAAGAAATGCCACAAGAGTGGAAAGATGTTTACGTGAAACGAGTCATTGCACTGTCTGTTCCCTGGAGTGGCAGTACAAATACGCTCAAAGCACTTTCCGTCGGATATAATTTTGGTATTAATCTTGTCAACAGCCAAAAAATGAAAGAGGTTGAAGAGACCTATCCATCGGTTGTGTGGCTTCTACCGTCAGAGTACTTTTGGAAGGAAAATGAAGTATTGATCATCATGAATTGTTGTAGTTGAGGTTAGAGAATAGACTGATTTATTAAATGACATTC